AAGAGGCTTCCTTCTGGAATGACAGCCCTGCAGACCACTTTGATGCAGCGTGTGGCATATGGTCTGAGCACTGACAGGCTGACCCCCACCCCCCACCCCCACTCCTTCAACCCCTGCAGCAATGCTGGCAGCACTCATACATCTATTTCCCAAAGCCAACCTCTGAATATGACACTGAGCACGGGCACTCAACTTCTTTGATCGACCATGACAAGGCCTGTTCTGAGTGGAAACTGTCCTGTTAAACCACTGTATGGTCTTGGCCACAGTGCTGCAGCTCAGTTTCAGGGTCTTGGCAATCTTCTTATAGCCTAGGCCATCTTTATGTAGAGCAACAATTCATTTTTTCAGATCCTCAGAGAGTTCACTGCCATGAAGTGCCATGTTGAACTTCCAGTGACCAGTATGAGAAAATGAGGCCGATAACACCAAATTTAACACACCTGCTCCCCCTTCATACCTGAGACTATTATATATATATATAAACATAGAAAACTAGCATTTTGTTTAGGGATACCTTAATAAAATGAAAGTTTGATTAATATTGTTCATCCCTATCTGCATGAAGGCACAATGCATTTCGGGTCAGAAATACAGTTTATTTCCTGATGCCTTTGAATACCTAGAAATTATTTCATCTTGATTTATACTGGATGTAAAGCCTTCCTTGGACTTGAGTATTTTTCTATTTAAAATCGGGGCAGTAATACTTTATATTAAAAACATACTGGATAGTCATTTATTTATGTAAGATTTAGTTTGTTTGCCTTTTACAGACATTAAAATCAACTGGAAATAAAGAATACTATATGTCTAAAATTTAAAATATAGAGCAAGAGACTTTCATAGCATGTATCCTCTAATAGAAGGTGTAATCAGAATTTTTATTTACGCTAGGTTCTTTAACATTGATAGACATTGCTGTTAATTGTTTTAAAAATGGTTGATAATCACATCAATTTCTGTTGTAATCATTTGAACATATTTAAAAAGTAGCCATAACCACAATTTCATGAAGCAATTTCCATTCATTTAGAAATGAAATGAGATTATTATATAATACATGCACAGAGAGAGACTGAAGCAATGGATAAAATCTTGTAAAGTTTTTAGTTTTTAGCAGAAGAGTTAGTAAGTTGATATTTAAACAGAATATTTGTGAGTTTGATATAGGAACTGGCAATTCCATCATTAAATGCTGTGATCATTAAGCAGAAAATCACATGTCCATGGTGAAGTTACGATTTCTCATTCAATTGTTAAATGAGACATCATGTGACTGCAGTTTGTGATTTTAGTTCTGCGTTCTCCATTAACTCTGCTTGTCAGAAGCCAGTTGTGAAAAACACAAATGGTGACTTTGGAATGCTGCAGTGGTTGTAAATGAACACCAGTTGTGAAATGTCATATGGTAGGTACTGTTAGCTTTGAGTTTTTTAATGACTTGTTTTCAGTAATTCCTCTTCTCTAAATGCCCTTATCCCTGTATTCAAGGGCACGGTTTCAGCCTCCCATTTTCACTTCAACAGCTTGCTGTTTTAGGTACTCAGTTCTGTGAGCAACTGCAAGTTGTTGTTTTTTATCAGTGCTGAAAATTCTGCAAATTGCAGTCATATAACTGGAAAGAGCATCATGGAATAGAATTGAAAAAAAGTATCTGAGGACATCATATTCATGAGAATAATTTATCTATCGTTTCCTGGCTCGCTCTCTATGCAGTGCAATTCTAATGGACCATCACTGGCACAATCTCACATAACAATATAGTCTATTACTCTAACATTTATGCTTGTTAATGACACTAATTTTATTGTCTTTAAACAAACCTAAGGATAACACATTGATAACATTATTACATGCTCATCACAAGTGTTTTTGTTATGAGGATAATTGATAGTTTCAACTTCTAGATGTGTCAGTCAGGCACTTTCCTCGATGGTATAAAACTCACATTCATGACCAGGCATAAGCAAACATTTTACCTGCATGATGTGTTTAACCTCCAGCCCAGGAAACAAGAGATGTTTTTCTTTGAACAGGCATCTTGTGAAATGAACTCCAGACTGGTCTCCTGTTTTCATTACAGCATGTGGTTTATTAAGGCTACTGGTCTGAACTTTCTGTTCTGCTTTTTAAACTAGTCTTGCAATAGGGATTGCTGCACTAATTCATTTTAGGAATGTCATTCCATGAAATAATAGCTTTGTTTTGGTCACTGGTTATTCCTCATCAAATTTCTAAAATCTTAGATTGTTCTTGTTTTTTTTTTATGCCTCAAAATAAATAATGCCCTATTCATACTTTTTGTGTAGAAGAAAATGGCATATTGTTATTTTTGCTTATACATACTTTTTCTTTTTTTGTAAAATTGTAGCCATGGTCCTTTCTTTTCTGCTATTAAGAAAAACCAATTCCATAAGAAACTGGTAATGTGGTGCCGTGCCAGAGGTACTGCTGATAATTTTCAACCAGAATGAAAATGCTAGAATTTTGTGAACATAGGAATGGAACAAATGAAAGTGTAATGATGAGTAATTACTTTAGGTTATTTGTCCAACCCGAGATCTGCTGCTTGCATATATATTTATAGAAGATAATTTTGGGCTGGCTATTTTGGGAGTGTTTTCTCAGTGGCCCTCCTCTTTGAGGAAATAACTTGTTAATTGCACTTCCTATGTCTGTGAGGTTTACCTGACTCCCTATACTATGTATGTGGGGCATCAGAATCTCTATTGTTATCTCTATATTTAAAACTATCTATTCTACTCTGTGTGTGTGTGTGTGTGTGTGTGTGTGTGTGTGTGTGTGTGTGTTTCAAGTGCCCTTTATATATTTCCAGGTTCCTTTAATATGTTGCTTCATGATTATATATAATTTTAGTAATTTTAACTCTCCTAAATACATAATTTAATTTCATTAAAAGTAGAGAAACATGACTGCTTGACCCTAATAATTTAAATCTTTGAACAATTTTGTTCAAAATACAGTTTACTAGAATTTATGACAGAAGCTCTTAACAAATGTTTAGAAGCTTATATTATGTGTTAATTATCATATGTTTGTGGAACTAGATACAATATTTCTCAGTACAATACATACAAAAATATCAGTTTAGGCAACTAGTTATTTGTACTGATTAATAGACTCCATTATATATTTCTCCAGAAGATGAGGAACAATTTGTGATTCGAGACTGCTATCTGAGTTGATACTTGATAATAATTTTAACAGATAAGTGAAGAAAGGCAGAATGATGAAGTATCTGTCCAGATTTCATGACTATCAAATACATGCACACAGAAGCAGTAGTAATCTGCCCTTTTTCATACTTGATGTGGTGAATTTTAAGTTATTAATCACAGTTTGAACAAATGTAGCTTTTTAATGCATATTCCTGCCCTTTATAAATCCTACAAAATAAGTTATAAACTAGTCTTGAAGAATTTCATTTTAAATTTCTAAAATAAATATAGATAGTAAAAATGTATGTGTTTCATTTACTAGGAATTCAAATAATTTACAGCATAATGAGAATTACAGTCAGGAAAAAGAAAAGGGAGTTGTTTTTTTAATTAAAATTTTGTAGCATGTATATTATTAGGTTTCATATGATGTATTATCTACCATGGACTTTCAACAATTAGCCTTACAAGAGCAGAAGTTTATAGATTTTCATTTACTCTCAAAAAATAAAATGTTACTATTTCTGGAGATGAAATAAAAAATCACTGGTACTGTGAGTCTGTATTAATTTGTAATAAATAAATTAAGCAGGGCTATTTATTTTTCAAAGGTGACATATGTACAATGATTATTACCTCATAAAAAGAAATGATAATATAAAAAGTAATTTTTGCTTACAGTCTTACAATAGATATTTCTTTATAAATAATATAATTTGTAATTGGGGAATGCAGATGTTGGCGGTATATCTCAGTGTTATTCTGTAGGCTTTTATTATTTTACATATTTATTTGTATCTCTAGGTATGAATACATACTTGAATTGGCTGCTATTGCCATTTTTAATAGATAATGTACAGCTTTATAGCATACTTGCTCATAATATGTAACAAGATAGGACCTGGCATTTATATATGCCCATATTAAAAAGATCTATGCATATTTGAATAATACAATGCAGAACATAACAAATGTGGTAGAACCTTTTTATAAATATAAATTTTAAGACATATTCTTTCAGCACTCTCACCATAACATGAAGTTCTTAATTAAATGCAAAAATCTAGCTACATAAAAACAGAAACCAAATCTGATTTGCTTGAGAATAAATTGTTATTTCACTCTCCTGGAATAGTTTATTTAAAAACAGGAAAAGGAAACAAAAAAGGATTTTTTTTTACATTCTATGCCTCAGGGGCTAAAAGTAATGAATATTTTAAGAGATTATTTTAATTAAATTCCTGCAGATCTAAATAGAGTAATATTTTATTATCACATACATAATCATGTAACAGAAGTATTCATTAAAGTTAACACTTTCTCAACCAAGAATTCATGATAAGATTTAGTGACCTTGTACAAAAAGGCACAAATTAGGAAGAAAAATGAAGGGGGACAGACTTTGATTAATATAGGTAATGCTATACCATATTTATAATAGCTTTTCCCTATTCTGGTTTATAAATGCAGTCACTGAGAAAGGTGCCCTGCTGAGGCTGAAATGAGGCTGAAATCGGAGCACATGCCACTAGAGTGTGGGGAAACTGATCACACTGTCAGCAATTCATTTCAAAATGATGTATTTAGTGCTCATTTCACCTTCTAAGAAAGAAAGGAAAAGGGAGTTTCTCAGACTGGAAGGTGATACTGTTATTTTCAAGGGCATATCTAACTTAAAGATTGTAGAAAGGGTTTTGGGTGCTGTTTTTAAAAAAAGGAAAAGGAAAAGAGCAAACAAGGAAAGCTTTATGCAGAAATCCAGTGCTACCATGCTGTTTGGTAATTGCTAACATATGTGGCTTCTCTATTTCATTGTAGTCGTCCTCGTGAGTTCTGGCGCCTTGACTACTGGGAAGATGACTTGCGGCGCCGGCGACGATTTGTGCGTAACCCCCTTGGATCGACACATCCTGAAGCGACCTTAAAAGCTGCCACAGACCACGGTCAGTGTAAAATCTACTCACTGTCAATAGTCTCAGGTCTGTATGGCAATGGAATTAGAGAACTTGATTGCTCTAAGAGAGCATGAACTGTCACATTTGGAGTTCTCTTCTTTGGGACTTCAGACCCGAGCATTTCAAGACCTAATTAGTCATTATTTCTTAGCAGCATCTGCCTTGGAAAAATCCTTTAGGTAGAGGTTTTAGAATACCAGAAATTTGAGACAAAGGTTTAAGATTCTCTTATTCCCTTAAGTTTTAATAAGGTTTTGTGTCAAATTGTTGTGTGTATGAAGTTGTAGCAATATAAGCAAGATATACTTTCCTGTGATAAATCCCCACTAATTATTTTAATTAACTTCAGTTTAAAATTAAAATTGTGCATGAGTGAAATTATATTCACAGGACCTCTGTTTTAATTTTCCTGCATTATACAAGTCAGAATGAAAGCTTTTCTCAAAATACAAGCAAATTATAGGAAGATAGATAGATACCTAGATAAGATAGATGACAAGCAGTAGACACACCAACAGACAACATGGACCAAGCATCTTAACCTCTTGTACTTATTCTTAAAGAGTCATTTCTGAAAGAAAATGCCTGCAATATGTTAGAGCTATAATGCCAAAAATGTGACAGAAGTATTTTAAATACATGACCAAATAGAGAAGACTCATTAGTACAGTCTTAACCTATAATGGTATTGATCACCTCATATTTTGCTACAGGAGGTGAAAAATCAGGTGTAGAATTAATTACACCCTTTCTGCTTTAGGATTGATACATTGCTGTACTATACACACAGAGATTTCAAGAGTGTAAATTGTCCTAACAGTTATATTTAGTATAATTTGATGTTCTCGCTTGCATTGTTTTTCAGAAGTATTGAAGTAGATAGAACATTAGTTCATTTTTTTGTTTATTTATCAGAATATTAAATAATAATTCAGTGATTATAGTTTTAATGTTTAAATATATTTTATTAAGTTTTAAATCATGATGCATTAGTGTAATAACAGATCTAACTACATAAAAGGCATTAAGATGTTTTAAATCATGTAGAAATTTGTACTTAGTTTTAAACCTAATATTTAATTACTAACTGTATAATCACAAGTGGTAAATACTCTAGCAGTATTATTTTAGATATATTTGAGTGTGCGCGCGCATGCATGTGCGTGCATGCAGAGCAATGGTTGTAATAATACAGAACTATGATAGGCTGTATAGTATGCATTTTTCATTGAAATGATTGTGAAAAAGTCAATCAAATACAAAAACCAACTTTTTATTACACAACTAATTATATAGATGATTTCATTTGGAATGAAATGCTATTTGGAAATGCTTTTGTGCTACAATACTGTCTTTTCTTCTCAAATACTATATTCATTATTAATGCAATTATTTGAGTTTAAGATGATAAAGAATACTCTTAATTCAAATAATTTTTAAATCTGATTCTACTTCAATCCTGTACTTGCAAGTAGAATGTAGCAAAACCACTGAAATAAACCTGATGTGGAATTAATGTGTATACAATTGAAGCATGGGTCTATTGTTTCTAGATTATATGTGCTTATGTCACAAAAGACATTAATGCAGAAAAGGCATAATTTCTAAGATGGTTTGACTTGGTATGGCAGACAATACTTGATGGAATAATAACAATTATTGTGGAGTTTTTAGATAGGTTAGGTTTATGAAAATATCTTGACTGATTAATTGGTAAAACATTCTAACCTTTTTAAAAGTAAAATCTCTCTGTCCCTACATTCAGCACATACATATATACTCACATAATAAAGCATCACATACTTGCTCAAAGAAAAGGTGCCTTAAAATTGATTCACAAAACAATTTCTGTGAGCTGTATCCACAACTGAACAGATACCAGGTGATTGTGCACTAATATGTTTTTTCAGCTGTTTCCATTACTGTGCTGTTCAAGAGCTTTCTTCCTTCTATAATACAAATTAAGTCTGTGGATTGCTTCACATTCAAAGAGAAAAAGGTGCTTTGGAGCGTGCAGAGATTCCAATGAAACAGCTGCCTCCGATTCCTTAAATCAAATGCACCTTTTCTTAGAATTGTGTGGCTGCCTACTACAATTCCATAACTGGCAAAAGGCACAGCTGAATTATGGACAGATATTCTGCTTATGCCCTCCACATGCTTGAACCACTTTTTTTTTTTTTGCTTTTGGCACTGAAGCAGTGTATAGTCTTAATTCAGTCTAATGCTTACAAATGAAAATAGTCTAGGGAGCAAAACTAAATAGGAAATAGAAAGGAAACTGAAATGAACTTCTACAGCCTTAGTAAATTGTAAATTTGTAAATTTGAGCTAGTATATAAGCATACATTAACATCAGGATGACAGGTATATTTGGCCTTTGAGTGACTTGACAGAGGTGACACTATAATATAGTAAACCAAGGCAAAGGCTAGATTAATTTAAATGTATTAGTTAACAAGGTTCTACCTGAATTAGAATTTTGTAAGAAGCATCACATCTTTTTTTACCCTTCAGTATGTCACAAGTTCTCAATGAAATTCTTGTTCTGGTCTATGTTTTTTTTTAAATTGCAGAATAGTCTATTTTAAGGTCTACAATCTTCTTAAAGCAATTGGATTCAGGCCAACTCAGACTCATTTTCTACAGTGCAGTTTATTGGTTTAATTCTAAATGCATCAGCTCCAGTAATTGTAGATTGTATATATAGTTTATATATGATTTCTGGAAGAAATATTCTCTTTGTTATATTCATAAGTGTATTTTTCACAACCATTGTAATGTTTGTTAATTTCTGCTGTCTTCTAGATATTCAGTTTGTTTATTTGTTTTTTTTTTAAGATAGAAGGGAAATAAGTTATAATTGCAATCCTGTACAATAGAAGATTTGATAGGTAGTTCAGAATAGGACTATTCCTATAGTTCCTCCCTTCACGAATGCAGTTTATTAAATGTTGTTGTTGGAAGAAGTGGAAGAGGTCCAGAAACAATCAGACATAGTATACTAAGGCCAGAGAGCAAAAATCATGTCCCTCTTCAGCCCCATTTATGTATTTCAGTAGCCATCTCTCCAAGGAATTGACTTGGTTTGAAGGAGAGCCTCTGGTGTAGAGGTGGCAGAGTAAATACCTTAAGACTAATGTTCCCTGTTCAGACAATCAATATCAATGCAATGACTATTCTCTGGGCTACTTTCTACTTAAAAACATTAAAAAAAAATTCTGACAATTTAATTGCCCTTCCCAAACACACATTAACTTGCCCCTGAAAAAGATTTTTCAAAGAGTGAAGTTCCAAACCTATTTGTAAAAGGTTTTATTTATGTCTTGAATGAAGCTTGCTTTCCATTGGACCTGTTTTAAAACTCAGGTGTTGAAATTTTTCTTCTCATTAAAAAAGCACTTACATAAAATGTAACCTTTGTGAACAGATACAATTTAATTAATCTTCATTGTAGAAATGTTGCTCACAAACAACTAATAAATTATTTACCCTGAATATCTTCCATTTTAAAAGACCTGTTCACATGGGTTACAAAGACTTTACTGGGTATAATGAGTAACCCCACCTTTATGTATTTCTTAGGGCACATATTCTTTTCATGGATGAATAAAAACGACCCCCCCATATTTTGAGTCATCAATTTTGAGGGTATTTTAAAAAGAATTTACAGAAAACCTAAAGACATAAAAGTTTCAACTTTATTAATGAATAGTGTGATGATATGCTAGAACAGCTTACAAGTAAATTTATGAACATTAGAAATGAATGTATTAATATGAAATCTTAATGTTTTTAACTATGCAAAACTGAAGAACAGTTTCATAAAACTAAGCATTACAACTTATGTCCAGAAAAGCAGAAAAAAAATAAGTTCACAAAAAATAATCCATAGTAGATTATAAAAAAAATCAGTCAAAATAAGTATGCAGAAAATTATATGTTAAAATTATACTCATACTGTGACCCCATTTGATTTATTGGAGCAATTATTGAGAAGGTTGTCCTAAAGAGTTACCGGCATGACAACATATTTGGCAAAGTATAAAGGGATATTCATTTAGATATTGTGAATCTAGGAATTTTATGAAAATTTTTGATTTGAATCAATTTAAGAGCTATAAATTATTGTAATTTCTATATTATTCAAAGGAATGGATAGCAGGATTTAAACTAATTGAAATTTCTGGGCAGTTGTCAAGGCCACTTTATATAAAATGAATTGCAAATATGAACTTGAAGCAACTTCATCCCACAATTCAATGTAGAAATTCAGAAACATGATATGTAAAAACAAATTCAATGTCAAGCATTATGTTTAAAAACAATTAACATTTAAGGGAGGGGCAGGGGAAGAAATTTAAAATACAGTTCTTGACCTATCATATTATATTTTTTGCTGAGAAGCTGCATTTGCATTCTGCCCAGTCAGACATTCTGGAATTTATCATCAAATCATAGGTTCATGTAGAAAAATTCCATTGTTAATGAGATGAGTTACCGTCTCTGCTTTTCCATTTATGTGGGCACATTCAGGGAAGAAAATAAGTGAAACAGTAACAAGTTTCTTAAGTTTCTTTTCAGATGTCCTAGTCAAAAATTATTTAAAACACTTCATATTTTTGAGGCAACAAATGAATCTAGGATTTTAAAATCTAAAATATCATTGGTCTGAACAGCCAGGTAGCCTATGTACTAAGAATTGAATGGTTGGAAGTGCAATTTCTTGTAAAATCTACACCTGAGGAACACATGTTCCAAGATCTCAATATCACACAGGCATCTTCTGCATGAAAAGGATATCTGAGTCTATCTACCATATATAATCGCAGAGGGATCAGCTTTGGAATATGCTGTAGAGAAGGCCCAAAGATATTTTGGAAAGGATAACTGGTGTAATATGGAGACAAGAACTATACAAATTGGTTTATGGGAATGAATTCAAAGCCTTGACCTTCAATCTTCCCTTGGAGAGATGAGTCAGGGAG